GAAGAGGGAGGGTGTGAGGGGTGCCACAGATCCCTCCTCCCTCCTCCCTCATCCTTTTCGGGGTGCCACAGATCGTCCGAGTAGTGCTCCTGTCTGCGGCAGGATTGCAAAGCTCCCTGGTGGGTCCTCAGGACGTAGTAGCAAGCATACTGTTGTTATAGCTTGGCAGGATCCACACCAGGATTGGGAGATCTGACTTGCTGCCCCTGGAGTTCGAGTCGAGTCGATTCGATTCATCCTCATCCCTCCTCCCTCCTCCTCCCTCTCCTCTCCTATCTTCGTTCCCTCCCGCGCTGTCTCCGTCCCTCCCTTCCGCCCTCCCCTCCCTCCCTCCCTCCCTCCGCCCCTCCCGCGAGGACGGCGGCAATGACAACCACGGCGGCGGTGCCGGCATCGACGACGACTGTCTGGAGGTCTCCAGGGGCCTCCCCAGGCCCCTGGAGGCCAGCAGGAGGCAAACGCGGCCTCGAAAGCCTCGACCCCTCGATCCATCGACCCGGAGGAGGAGGAGGAGGAGGAGGAGGAGGAGGAGGAAGGAGGAGGAGGAGGAGGAGGAGGAGGCGGAGGAGGAGGAGGAGGAGGAGGAGGAGGACGGAGGAGGAGGAGGAGGAGGAGGAGGAGGAGGAGTGGAGGAGGGGAGGAGGAGGAGGAGGAGGAGGAGGAGGAGGAGGAGGAGGAGGAGGAGGAGGGAGGAGGAGGAGGAGAAAAGGAGGAGGAGGAGGAGGAGGAGAAAAGGAGGAGGAGGAGGAGGAGGAGGAGGAGGAGGGGAGGAGGAGAAAAGGAGGAGGAGGAGGAGGAGGAGGAGGAGGAGGAGGAGGAGGAGGAGGAGGAAGAGGAGGAGGAGGAGGAGGAGGAGGAGGAGGAGGAGAAGTCGACGCCGCAGGACCGCCGGCAGCGCCACCCCCTCTTTGCGCTCGTCTCCCTCAACGCAAAGACCGCGCCCAACGCCGAGGCGGCGCTCCGGGCTGGGGGGGGCTCGTGCTGCCTTGGGGCCCAGGGCAGACCCTGCCCTGAGGCCGTGCACTCTGGGGCTAGGCATAGGCCCTGGGGTAGCCATGGGCCCACGCGGCGGCGTTCTATGCTTAAGTCGGGCATGTCCATCGACAGGGGGAATTTTCAAAAATAGTAGATTATTCACTGCGTGGAGCTCCCCATATGTGCATCTATTCGCATGGACCTGTCCGCCGTGAATGTCTAGGCGCAAGAGCTTTCGAATATAAACGGGCTTCAGTTGTGACGGTCTGGACATGATTCTAGCGGTTTCGTGCCCCAGGAGAGGCCCAATCTATAGCAACAGACGTACATAAAACATTACGGATTAGAGCCACAGGGGAAGGGCAATCTATAAGAACACACGTAAAACACCAAGGACTCGTGCCCCAGGAGAGGTCCAATATATAGGAACACAAGTAAAACATGTAGGATTGTGTACACAGGAGAAGGACAATCTATAGAAACATACGTATAACATCAAGGAATCGTGCTCCAGGTGAGGCCCAATCGATAGGAGCATACGTAAAACACATGGGATTGGAGCCACTCCTGTTGCCTTCTGAGGCCTCCTGCTCCTGGGGCCTCTCGGGGCCTCCTGTTGCCTTCCGAGGCCTCCTTGCGCCTCCTGTGGCCTCCTGGGGCCTCCTGTGGCTTCCTGAGGCCTTCTGGAGCTTCCTGGGGCCTCCTGGAGCCTCTTGGGACATCCTGTGGCCTCTCGAGTCTTTCTGTGGCCTCCTGTTGCCTCCTGGGACCTCATGTGGTCTCCTGGGGCCTCCTGGAGCCTGTTGGAGCCTCCTGTGGCATCCTGAGAAGAATCTGCGCCCGCGAGCCTGGCCACCCACACGGGCAAGCCGACCGAGACATCCTCAACATCTGGCCCACCCGGGACGTGACAATGAAATGAGCGCCTCGCTCGAGACGTCCTCCAACTCTGCTCCGACAGCGAAGGATGTTGGGACAGACAACAGGCAACACGCTCGAGGCATCCCCCCACACAACGGCCGCGAACGGGACCGTGCAAACACCCCTTGGCGGCCCCCCTTCATGAGCACCTCGCTCGAGACATCCTCCAAATCTGCTCCGAAAGCAAAGGATGTTGGGACAGAACACAGGCAAACCGCTCAAGGCATCCCCAGAAAACGGCCGCGAACGGAACCGTGACAGCACCCCTGGCGGCTCCCCTTATGGGGGGGCTGAGGCCAGCGCCCCGCCTGAGGCATCCTCTCACAATCTGCTCGGATAGCCAAGGAAGTTGGGACAGAAAACAAGCACACCGCCTGATACAACCTCACAAACTTGCTGCGAACGGGACCGTGAAAACACACCTGGCGGCTCCCCTTAGGGGGTCTGAAGCCAGCGCCCCGCTTGAGACATCCTCACAATCTTCTGTGTGCGTGTGTGGAATAAATCAGACAATGAAGAGGTCTCAGTACGAGCAGGTCTGAGTATGAGTAAGTCTGGGAACAAGTCTGAGTATTAGTTAGTCTGGGCATGGGTGAGTCTCAGCATGAGTAACTCTGAGTAGGAGTAGGTCTGAGTATGAGTAGGTCTGAGTATGAGTAAGTTTGTGTCTGGGTAAGTCTGGGTATGAGTAAGTCTGAGTGTGAGTCAGTCTGTGTATGAGTAAGTCTGGGTATGAGGAGGAGAGGGGAGGAGAAGGAGAAGAAGGAGGAGAAGTCGGCGGCGTCCAAGAATTACTCACTGCGTGGAGATCCCCATATGTGCATCTTTCTAAAAGGATAATTGTCAGTGGGATCTGGGAATGCGCGTCTAGCCATGCAACGCAACATGCGAATCTCATGTTGTAAAAGTGTAGGATTGTGCCAAGGCGAGCGTCTATCAGTGATACATTTCCCCTTAGGGACGTGAAAATGAGCGCCTCGCTCGAGACATCCTCCAAATCTGCTCCGAAAGCGAAGGATGTTTGGACAGAAAACAAGCAAACCGCCTGAGACATCCCCGCAACACGGCCGCGAACGGGACCGTGGCAACACCCCTGGCGGCTCCCCTTAGGGACGTGAGAATGAGCGTCTCGCTCGAGACATCCTCCAAAGCTGCTCCGAAAGCGAAGGATGTTTGGACAGAACGGGTTCATGAATTATTACTTCTCGGAGTTCTCTTGGACGAGCGTGGCCGGACACAGGCCAGCACGGAACATCGCATTTGCGCGGCCACAGGGCTGTTCTACAAGAACAAAGTTGTATTGCAAACGCCTGGCAACCTCCTCGAGCGCATCCGGGCATGGTGCACGCTCTGCGGGGCATCGGTCACGCATGGAGCTTGCAATTGGCACCTCAACCAAAGAGTTTTGAAGCGGCTCCGAACTTGGGAGTTGCAAGTGCTACGTTCCATGCTGAAGATGCGCCGGCGGCCTCATGAGAACCAGAAGGCTTACAATCAACGCACGGCGGCACAAATTTACGATTGGTTTGCCAAAGCGAGCGCCTTGATGATACACCACCGGGTCCTCCGCATCGTGTATCGTTCAGCTTGGAGGGAAAAGTGCGGGCCGAGCATTGGTCTATCCATTGAAACATGTTCGGGAATATCAGCACGCACTCTGGTGGCAAGCGATTTTGGCATTCCCACGGGAGTTGAGATGGGGAACCGATTGTGCTCATCGCACTAGTGGGCACAGTTCTTGGCTTCGAGTGGCGGAGTTGCCGGGATGCGAAAAGTAACCTGGCCGAGTGGATGGCCGGGTTTCCAGAGTTCTGCAATCACATCTGCCGTCGATGGCATCTTCCTGGACTTCCCGTCCGAACCGTCGCGCCTCCGCCGGCTCGGGAAAACATCGAGGAGGACGAGCCATGTGAGATTCTCTGGCACCCCCGGTACCGCGAGTGGTGCTGTGATGGAGGATGTCTGAGCGTCCAGGTCGATAACCAGACAATCGCGGGCTTGGTGACGGGCCACTGTTCGTTGACGAATCAGGACTTCAGGCCCCTTTTTTTGTTCGCACTTGCCGGCTCATCGCCCGCATTTTCAACATTGGGTTGAAACCCAGGGCACCTACAGGAGACCTTGTGGAGTGGTGCCCCCGGCGGTACAATTCCATGGCCGACCAAATCGCCAGCCAGTGCATCAGAAACAAGGGTTCCATAGACAGAACTTTCGGGGTGCTTTGCGGGCCCTCGGAGTGGAACCGCTCAAACTGGTTGTTGTGCGTGGACGGCGGATTCGTCCGAGGAGTTGGAGGAGCAACAGGCATGGTCTTGTTCAGGATCTTACCAGACGGGGACAAGCAGAGAGTAGCAGATTTCGGCATGTTTCTTCCAAGGTGCCGATCCGCTTTTGAGGCAGAGGCTGTTGCATTAGAGAGCGCATTGAGTCAGCTGCATCGCACAGTTCTCTCGGGGCAGTAGAACCGGCAGCCTAGGGGCGCAAGCCGTTCGAGAAGAAGAAGGCAGAAACAGGTAAACCGCCTGAGACATCCCCACAAAACGGCCGCGGACGGGACCATGAAAACACCTCTGGCGGCTCCCCTTAGGGGGGCTGAAGCCAGCGCCCCGCCTGAGACATCCTCACAATCTGCTGTGTGTGTGTGGAATAAATCAGACAATGAAAAGGTCTGAGTACGAGCAGGTCTGAGTATGAGTAAATCTGGGATCAAGTCTGAGTATTAGTTAGCCTGGGCATGAGTGAGTCTCAGCATGAGTAACTCTGAGTAGGAGTACGTCTTAGTATGAGTAGATCTGAGTATTAGTAAGTTTGTGTCTGAGTAAGTCTGGGTATGCGTAAATCTGAGTTCGAGTCAGTCTGGGTATGAGGAGGAGAGGGGAGGAGAAGGAGAATAAGGAGGAGAAGTCGGCGGCGTCCAAGAAATAACAAGAACCCCATCTTAGCATAAGGCGAAAGACCAAGGAACCCATCTTAGGATATGGGGAACAATACTTAAGGGACGATTTTATGATTACTCAAGATCCTTCGATAGGCCCCCCCCCGTGCCAATTTGTCCGACGCCCCTTGGCCGCCCCCCCACGCGCCCCAAACCCACCCCTTCTCGCTCCCCAACCTCCTCACGCCCCCGAAGGACAGCGGCTTCCCACCCCCCCACGCGATCCACCCCCGCCACGCTTCTTGAGAGACCTGGAGTATTTTTGTTCGACTATTTAGGGGTACTTCTTTTGGACAGCTTTTTTTCCATTAAACAAAATCCGTCCAAAATCCGCCTGTAGGGGGTCATGCTCGACCTAAGAGGAGGGGGAGTCTCCCTGTGAGGGCCCCCTCCCCCTCGACCTCCGAGCTCCGACCGCCGACGTCTTCGGTGGGGTTCTCGCAGCCCTGGCCAGAGCGCAGCCCAGGAGGGCACCCCGAGACACCCTGACCAGAGAGGCCCCCGAACTCAGGAACGGCGCTCTCGCTCGAGATTTCCTCGCAACTCAATTAAGTTGGCGGAGGCCCAGCCACGACGACAAGGGCTCCTGATCGATACTTCCTCACGATTTACTCCGAGAGCCTCTGGCCAAGAAGGCCCCCCGAATTCAGGAACGGCGCCCTCGCTCGAGAATTTCCCGTAATTCAGGCAAGTTGGTGGAGGCCTGGATGCGGCGACAACGGCTCCTTTTCGATATTTGTCCATAGGTATTCCGAGAGCCCTGGCCACAGAGGCCCCCGATTTCAGGGATGGCGCTCTCGCTGGAGACTTCTTCGCATTTCAGTCAGTGGTTGACAAGGCATATATTCCCTCGAAAGGGGGTGCAATCGAAGACGAAGTGGGCAGGTATCGAGGGTTTGAGTATACGGAATTATACGGAATGCAAGACACGCGTGCCAGTCAGAGCGAACAATCTTAGAAGTATTGTTGTTGTTGTTGTTGTTGTTGTTGTTGTTGTTGTTGTTGTTGTTGTTGTTGTTGTTATTAGTATTCTGGTTGTTGTTGCGTCTGCTGCTGCTGCTCTTGTCGTTGTGGTTGCTGCTGGAGAGAATGATATTTATGATCGTTGTTTTTATTAGTGATCCCTGGACACGGTTCCACGCGCTCTCGCCGCGACGCCAGCTGGAAGTCCTCTGAAAACGAGGTTCCCGCTCGAGTGTGGGCTTGATTGTAGATGTGCGTCCTGAGTTACAACAGCAACGGCTCCCGCCTGAGACTTCCTCACAATTTATTGAAGAATCGCGCTCTCGCGCGGAGCTTCCTCACACTTGATGTAGGAATCGCGCATTCGCGTGGGACTTCGTTACAATTAATCCGACGATGCGCCCTCGGCGCTTAGGAATCACGCTCTCGCTTTGGCCTTTCTCACCAGTTACTTGGGGATCGCGCTATCGCTGGAGACTTCCTCGCGATTTATGTAGGACCCACGCTTCAGCAACCCGCCTGCTCGACCTGGTCGCCTGGTCCCGCTTTCCTGACCCGCCCGCTATGGGTCCACCCACCCGATCTCCCGTCTGGTTCTACCACTTCTTCTCTGCTCCTTGCCCCCTTATCCTGCTAATTTCTCTCGTGCTCCATCCTTGTCCCTGCCCCTTCCACCCGTCCTCTCTTCGCCAGTTTTTTTTGGGCTGCACTAAATGCACGTGGCAGTTAAGGAAGATCTGCCCCAAGGGGGTAGGATCGAAGACAAAGAGGGCGGGTACCGAGGATTTGGGATATACGTGTTGGACGGCACGTGAGCAGATAGTTGCAAGCAGTCTTAAACTGATTATTGTTGCTGTTGTTGTTCGTTGTTGTTGTGGTGGTTGTGGTTGTTGTTGTTGCTGCTGCTGTTGTTGTTGTTGTTGTTGTTGCTGCTATTGTTGTCGTTGCTGTTGCTGTTTTCGTTGAGTCATACTGCAGGCATTGTTGATCCCTCACTCCAGTAACCATTTCATTTTTTAGTTGAAGTGCTCCTCCCTGTGCTCGCACCGTGTTCTTTACAAGGGAAAGCTGTGTGTCACCAAACTGGGCCCTCGGCCCCCGATTTACAACAACAACGGCTCCCGCCTGATATATATATATATATATATATACATACACATATTTACATATTCAATGTATTACAAGTCGCGCTCTTGCGCGGGACTTCCTCACAGTATATGCAGAAATCGCACTGTCGCGTGGGACCTCGTCGCAGTTTGTTCAGACGCCGCGCTTTCGACACAGGAATGTAGAGATGGAGGGAGACAGGAGGGAAGGGGGATGGACGGACAGATGAAGGGATGGAGTGAGGATGAGTCACTGACCGAATCGTGAGGATAAGGCGGATGGAGGGAGGGAGGGAGGGAGGGAGGGCAAGGACGAGGCAGGAGCAGGGCGAGGCAGGAGGAGGAGGAGGAGGAGGAGGAGGAGGAGGAGGAGGAGGAGGAGGAGGGGGAGGAGGCGGATGAGGTGGATGAGGAAGACGAGGAGGAGGAGAGGAGGAGGAGGACAGGAGGAGGACAGGAGGAGGACAGGAGGAGGACAGGAGGGGGGGAGGAGGGAGGAGGAGGAGGAGGAGGAGGAGGAGGAGGAGGACAGGAGGAGGAGGAGGAGGAGGAGGAGGAGGAGGAGGAGGAGGAGGAGGAGGAGGAGGAGGAGGAGGAGGAGGAGGACGATGGAGGAGAGGGAGGAGGGGCTGCCAAGGCACTGCGTACAGCCAGTACAGAGAACGGGACGAAGGGGGCCCTCCTTCTTCGGCCCGTGGCGCGCGCGCGTGGGGCGCAGGTCTGCTGGTCGCAGCTGCTGGCCCTCAGTCTCGCGCCGGAGGACGGCGCAACGACAGGGGGGGGTCCCCAGTCGGGAGTTGCGAAAGTTACCCCTGGCCCAAGGTGCTCCCTGCTTTTTTCTCTCTCAACTTTGGAGCCCCTGGGGCCTGCTGGGCCTCGTGGGTGTTGCTCTGGAGGCCGCGGGGGGCTCCTGGGACATCCTGGGGGCACTTTGGGCCAGAGGCACTTCTAGCAGCATCCGATCCAGGGGCAACGACAGGGGGGAGGGGGGGTGATGGTAGAGAAGCCTAGGCCCCAAGCACCCCTTCGCCGCCGATCGGGGCAGGGGCGCCCTCCCCGCCAGGAGCCGTGAGGTTTCGTCGTCGGGCCTACCGCCGATGCGCCCGCGTTGTATCGACGATCCCAGGTCGGTGTCGCCCCTTCGTTCTCCTCCTCCTCCTCCTCCTCCTCCTCCTCCCTCCTCCTCCTCCTCCTCCTCCTCCTACATTTCTACATTTCTCGCTATGCAGCGTCTTGTCGCGCGCCCCGCGGGCGCGGAGCGCGCCGCAGCGGCCCATCAGGGCCGTGCGGGCACTCGAACAGCGGCCCCGGGAACCCGACCCCGAGGAAAGCAAGGGGAGCCTGGGACCAAGTTAAACCTCAGGGGAGAGAGAAGGGGGCCGGGTTTCAGCAAAAAAAAAGGGGGCCCGACAGGGCCCATGGGCGGGCGCCGCGCGCGCCCGCGCACGCGGGCGTCAGGCAGCGCAGGCGCACGGCCAGGCCGGCGGCCTCTTCGTGGGCTGGCGGCCGAGTGGTGGCGGCTGGGCTCCCTTCGGCGCCTCGCGCTGAGCCCAGCCGCCGTGGGGTCGTCGGGTGGCTGGCTGCCCCCAGCTGCGGCGGCCTCCACCCTTCGGCGCAGCGCGCTGTGGAGGCTCGCCGAGCCGCTCGTGGGCTCCAGCAAGCCTGCAGCGGCTGTTCTAGTCATCATGCCGATCAGGGCCGGCTGGCGTCGGCCCCTCGCATGCCACGCGAGGGCGACGGGGATACACCCTTCGGCGCCTGGCGCTGTGTATCCCTCGCCGAGGGGCGGCTGCCCCTTTTCTTCGAGTAGTCCATGATGTGCTCGAGCCTGCAGTGCTGCTTGACACTGTGGTGCTCGAACTTGGATCCCTCGTCCCAGTCGTGCTGGGCGGGGTGGTAATCCTGCGTAGTCCTGTCCAGTCATGCTGGTCGTCCTGGTACTCGGCTAGCCGTAGTATCCGATGTCGTCATTCATGCCGCCCCCGCCTCTGCAGTACAGGAGGGCGCTGATCTTGAGGGTTGTGGGTCGCGGTCGTTTGTAGGGCTGAGTGTAGGGTGTGGAGCGTGCTGGTCGGGTCGTTGGGGAGTCGGATAGTTGCTGGTGTTGTGTTGGTTGTGGGCTTCCAGGGCCTCCATGCACCGACTTCAAGTGGGGGTCTTGGCTGTCCCACCTCGTCCCGCTATGGCTAGGGGTCACGGTGCCCTCGGTGGGGGCGAACCCCAGGCCTGGTAATTACTTATTATCGTCGGAGTGGGATGCCTCGGCTGTCCTGTGCTTCGCCCTCGGGCGCTCGGGTAGCTCCTCCTTCTCCATGGGAATGGTGGGGGTGGCGAGCTAGGGCGGACCGCGGGGGCGCAGGTAGTGGCCGTCCTACCCCCCCCCTGCCCCTCACCATCCCCCCTGGTGGGCGCGGGAAGTACTCGTCCTTCCCCCCCGCCCTTCGAGCCCGTCTCGAAGTTTGATCCGTGCCTCACCAGGACAACGTTGGCTTGACAAGAGGTGTGCGGGGTCGTGCTGGGTATGCTGTCGATGTCGGTCAGTAGTACGACGGCGACGTGTGGACCGCCAGCTGCCAGCCAGCTGGTGTCCTCCGAGTTGTAGGTAGCCAGTCGCCGCCAGGGTACTCACAGCAAAACGTGGCGACTTGTGCCTGGGGTGTTCCCTCGCATTCGGGGCTTCCCCAGGACTTGCGTCCTAACCAAAGCAAAACTTGGCGACGCTGCCTGAGGTCTTCCCACGCATTCGGGGCTTCCTCAGGACTTAACCCATGATGCCGTAGTGCTTGTCACCGAGGAAGCTCTTTGCCGCGAATGTACTGCCGAATCCATGCTGCTCTTGCCCAGGGCGCTGGGTAATCATAGAAGTGAATGCCAGGGTTAAAAATAGGCGAATAAATCCAGCAAGGTCCTCGAGGGGGGGGGGCACGCTCCGTCGCCATTGAGGGATCGTGCCCACCCGTATGGGCGCTACGGGTCCCCCCCCCTCGAGTATGGCACGCAATCGCTGTCCAATACGAAGCCGTGTCAATATCCCGATAGCATTGCGGGTCTTGAGTACCTACAGTAGGTGCACCGATACTATCGCGTCTGCTGCCACTCTGAATAAATATCCAACTGTACGCCATTCTGTAATGTAAGCTGCCAACCTATCTGTAAGATGCCGATAGTCTGTGAACCAATCTGCAATAAGATGGCCCCTCCCATGGACTGGCAATATGAATAACCCTGAAGCAGTTAATCCCGAATATATGTGCAGGCAATCGTAGTGCCGCAACTGCAGTGCCAGCTGCTAGCGCCGTTGGGTACCCCATGTCCTGTGACAGTCGTGGCCCAGCTGCTCTGGCTCGATGTAGTAGTCCAGGGGGGCGTAGAACCTGTGGTAGCATTCATCCGTTTCGGCCCACATTGCCTCTTCGTCAGCGAGCTGTCCCCAGTGGGCTGCGAATGCAGTTGCCATTGCCTTGCACAACATTGAAGGATATTCTTTGAGGGGGGCGGTCCTCCAGCCGCCTTGGCCGTCTCGTCCGTATGCTCTGTCATGTCCGTTGTGTCGACATAGCTGTCCCCCAGGTACCGCCCCCAGCTCCTGTGTGAGTTCACTGAGGTGTACCGCCATCAGGCATGTGGGCTTCCGCGCGGCCTGCCCAAACTGGCACTGGTCTATGTAGTGCAGCTCGACGTTCGTCTGCTCCAAAAGCCAGAGCGTCTCCGCTCGCTGCCAGCTGCTCGGCGCTTGGGGACACCAAGTGGCTGGAGCGGGATGTTCGAGTACGGCGGATACGTTGTACTGCAAGCCAGTGGTGATGAGTAGTAGAGCTGTCCTATATAGCTCGTTGGCTAGTGCTATCTGTTGACGCTCCGCTTGATTGGCTGCTTGTATGCCCCAGGGGAAGTCGTGTGTGCGTAGTGGCCGTGGAGCTTTTCCCTCGGCGGCACGCCAGCGCGATGAGCACCGCGTCTCGCAGGGGGGGCCAGCAACAATGCCAAATATTTTGCCCTGTCGTATGGCCGCGCACCAAAACTCGACGACGTCTGGCTTCGTCAGGTCTCCTTTGTCGGGGTCTATCTGCACGTCGATCGATAATACTACCAAATTGCATTCCCGAATGTTCATCTCGAAGTGGTGCTGGAAATCCTCAGTTCGGCGTCTGCCTGAGAAAAGGTGCAGTAAGAACAAAGCCGTAGTAACCATGGGCCTGCACGGTGCGAATGTACTTGCAGGTGGCGTCGCTGGTTGAGGGGCCGCTGCTGCAGGCGGCGCGGGCGAGAGCTGGAGCTGATGCTGTTCGATGTGGTCGGCAAGCTTGATGTGTATGACCTGTTGGGCGGGCACCAGCGCCTTTGTAGCTCCATGACCCATTGTCTTCCTCGTCGCCACAGCCTCTCGTTCTTCTTCTCGGCGTTCGGCTGCCTCCTGCAAATCCATTGGGGCTTCAATTTCTTGGAGCACAGCCAGGCACCTGGGGCACCTTCTCAGGTGCTTGAGTATGCGCGATCGCGTTATGAAGTCCTTCCCGCACCCAGGGCAGGTTGTCGAACGGGCGAGCAATTCGGGGAGGTCGTAGCCGATGTGCTCCATGGTGCGGTGGCGCTTCCATGCTCCCCGAGTTTTTAGGATCTTGCCACGCTCATAGCATATGTAGCCACTGTGTTGTGCAGGTGGCCGTCCATCGAAGTTGGGCGTGGTCAGTCCAAAGTCTTGCGCTAACCGGTGCAACTGCCTTTGCCATATCCGATGTCGGTATAAGTCGTGCTGCCATGCCTTGTACCTGAGCCACGCACGCGTGATCATGGCTTGTGCGGCTTGCACTTGCTGTGTTCGTAACCATCGTACCAAGCCCCTGATGTCGCCGCCAATGTCCTCGTCGTCTAGTAGGAATCTTCTTATCCAGTCCAGATCCTCGACGATAAGTACATTCCAGGCTTTGCTGTCCTCCCAGAGCTCGTCGATGAGGCGGTGGAGGAAGGGCGTGTCTGCATGCACCATTCTGGCCAAGTACATCAGGCGCCGTCGGCGCAAGTACATGTGGATCGGTACTTCATCACATATCAAGTATATTTCGTCGTCCAAAGTGTGTACGTACCCAGCACCATGTCGCTGTTGCCGTGCGGCGGCCCGTAGGCTCGCCATGTGTCTGCTCTGCAACATCTGTTTCTGCTGTGCTGTCAGCGGTCCCCATACTTCGCAGTCGTAGGTCAGCTTGCTCTGCGCCAGTGCCGTGAGATACAGCAACTTTGCTTTGAGGTCGATGTGCGGCAGGCGGAAGATGGACTTCTTCAAGGGACCCTCCGGGGATCTGTGATCGATGATGCGTCTCATAAGGTTTGGTCCCTCACCGCCATCACTTGCCACAATATTGCCCAATGTGAGTCCCTGGGTCGTGACCTCGGCTGTGGTGACATCGATGCTGGTCGGCAGCTGGCAATCATCGCGTTGCAACGTGATGGGGTTTGTCTTGAAAATCTTCGCCTTGATATGTTGTTTGGCGTGCCCGTCAATATGCAGCAGAGCTTTGGTCTTCTTAGGGTGTAGGTCATGCCCGAAGATCTTGAGTCTCCTCGCAATGATGGCCAATATGTCAAATATGCTGCTCTCGATTTTCGTGTTGTCCCTGAGTGCGCACAGGAATGTCGCGTCGTCCATGAAGGATACTTCTGGCAGGGTCCCTTCATGCCCTCGGAGCTGGCCTGTTGTGGCAATGGCTTGCTCTCCCGCTGGTGGTAGCTGTAATGAGTACCCTCCCGAATGTAGCTCCTGCT